CAGCGGAATGTGCGAAGCCCAGCTGACTGAGAATGAGTGAAGAAAAGGGAGGGGAGTGGGGAATGATAGCGCGAGTAAGATGTCGAGAGTAAATAATGAAGAGTGCGAGTGTCTTAGTTTTTGTATTAGGATTTTAGGAACGTCTCCAGCGGCGTTGTTCGTGATGTTATGACGCGGTGTCAAGTGGTTTTTATATTGAATGATAAAATCGTTTTGACGTGAAATATTTTGGGGCGCTGACTTAAACCAGTGCAAAAGTTGTCTTTTTTAATTTGGAAAAGATTCCTGATTTGAGGGAAAAGGCGGAAGAGAAAGGGGCGATGGACGACATTTTAAACAATATATAGACTAAAAGGGTAGTGGAGTACTTTATTCGGGGGACGGTGGGACGGGGGGACGTTGAGGGAAGAAAGAGAGAGAGAGAGAGCGAGATAAAACCAGCGTATTTACATATGTACATTACTGTGCATTATTGTACATTACAGACTTTACATTGAAAATAAACAGGTAAAACTGATTAAAACGTCTCCGTTAAACAAATTGCGCCTTATTACAACACGCGTGTCCTTTCTTTAAATAGCCACACCCTCTCCACCCTAGCCACCCCAACATCGTATTCGATTGCAAGAATGTCAGTAAGTTTACACTCTATTCGAAAACCTAATCGTCCGTACCGGCAAAACATCAAACGAAGCAAACCGATCCGTCTTCTCAGCGTCCTCGGCCAACTCCAATAACCTCGTTGACCCGCAGACTCTCGAAAAATTTTCCGCCATCCCCGACATAAATATTTAACCGATTGTCGACTTTGATGTCGTAATACATGTATACAACATTCCAGAAAAAAGAATCTTGCCCAAGCGATTAGGCTACAACCGCCGCCGCCACCACCACAAAACCGCATAGTATCTAGGACATTAGAGGGTGTTGTTAGAAGTAGAGATAGTAGCAGTAACAGTGGTAGTGTTTAATAGCATTGTAACAGGGAAGAGAGGGTAGGAAGATGTGTTTTTATAAGATATATCCTATTGGATAAAAGAGTATTAGATGACTGGCTAAATGAGCAGGGGCTAGCGGTCTGTTGAAAGTTATCAAGCTGGTCGGTCTCGTGCCGAAGAGAAAGACGAAATGAAACGTTTTTTTTTAAGTATTTTTTTTATTTTTTTGTTAAAGTTGCCAAAAGAAAAATTTCAATTTCATTTCAATTTCTATACTCAGATGAAAATAGGAAGGTGTTTATTCAATTTCATTATGTTTGCTCAGCGTCGCGCGCCCAACAAATGCTGTTGTTGATTTAGAATAGGATAGATCGACTTAGCACCCGTCAGATTATTCGATCCGTCAAATTTTGCTTTCTTTTCCCCTTTTATCGCCTTTTTTTTAAATGGAAAGAAAAACGTCTAGTTGGGCGTCAAATCTGTCTTTTAATCTCGTATTAATTTGCTTATTTTCTTTTCGTTTTTTTGCCTATTTAGGTTGCTCTCCGACGAAGAAAAGAGACCTTTTATCGAAGAGGCCGAAAAGTTACGTACTCAGCACAAAGTCGACCATCCCGATTACAAATATCAGCCAAGAAGGAGAAAGCCTCCAAAGAGTGTCAATTCTACGGCAACAACTCCCCTCCAAGATTCGAGTCCCTCTTCGACGGTGGTCGACGAGTGCCAGTCGTCAAACAGGACTTCTCCGCCCATTGAAGGTAGAGTATTATTTTCAAATAAGAATTGAGGAATAGAAGGGAAGAGAGCAAGAGAAAAAGAGAGCGAGTAGTTAGATAGATAGATAGATAGCAAGATAGCTAGATGTATAGATAAATAGGTAGATATATATGTATATATATATATATAGAGCGTATAGTATAGAGTATATATATATATATATATTAGTATATACTAATATATGCGGAGAGGAAAGGGAAGAGAAAAAAGGCAAGGGCGTAAGAATAACATGAGAAAAATTACAAAATTCTTTTACGCCATATTCTGTTGAAGAAGAGAATGAAAGAAAAACCAAAGGAAAAGAAGCGCCCTTATATCGAATTAAGTAGGGGAATTTTTTTAATCTTATCGAAAAAAATTGAAAATCCCCTCTCATCCATCGAAAACACGAACGAAAAAACAACTTATTTGCACAAATATTCAATTGATTGACAGCCTTCAAATGTTCAGATAAGAAATTTTACTGATAGTGATAAGTTGCTCAGATAAGACGCCTACGGAAGTCTTAAAGTTGGACCACCCGCGTTTTTATTTCATTTGATCTTAAAAGAATGGCCAGTTGACGACGGAGCGTAAATGACCTTGGAATCAGGTCGTCAAACTGTTACCTTTGAAATGGATAGACGTTGTAAAGGAGAGAGAACATTCCGCATCACGTTGCTCAAAGATGAAGCGTATTTGACTGAGTATTTCGGAATGTTTATCTTAACTTATCTGCAGGCATTATGTTGACTTTTCTAGTGTGCTTTTTTATTAGTGTATTTATAGGCCTATCAACTTTTCAGTTGAATTAGGAGAAAAAAAGATAGATAAAGTTTGAAAAGAACATCATTTTATAAACTTTAAATAATCAATTAGGAGAGAAAGAGAGAAATTTTATACGTTTTTCTTTTTTATCACTGCTATTCCCTACTTTTTTTTAATTTATCCATTTACCTTTTCTTCTCTTCGCTCGTTCTCACTCTCTGCTATAGAGAGAGAGAGAGAGAGAGAGGTGACTTATTTACACTGTGTTTTACCCTCTATTTATCATTTTTTCTTCTTTTCAGCTCCAGCCAGTAATCGGTCAAAGCCTATTGTACAACAACCTCAAAATTACGAAGATGATTACGAAGCGGACGACGTCGAGCCAATTATGGAACAACCTCAATTTCCCGTTCCACCACCCTACTGGCCAAATCCTCTTGGTCCCAGGTTGGGTACGCAGTCGCATCAGATTTACGACCAACAGTACGAAACACCTCCAACTGCTCCAATTCTTTCGATGAGAAATTACGCAACGCAAGATCACCAGCAGCAATTCGACGATTATCAAATGTACCCGCAATGTATGGCTCAATACGGCCAAGGTCAAAGCCACGCTCAATGGACAACATCTTCGTCCAGTTCGACGAGTGCCTACTGTAGACAATGAACAATATGAAGAGAGGCAACTGTCTTGAATAAGTTTCTTTCTTAATATCTTTTTTTCTGGTTTCCTTTTACTCTTTTAATAAAATCTTTTGCCGTAAATGTAGAGAATATTATATATTCTCCTCATTTGATGTTTGATATCAGTAGCACCATCAGTGTAAATCTCTAAGAGTTATTTTTTATCTCATTTTCCTTTCCGTCTGCCTTTATGAAGAAAAACAAGAGTAAAAAAAAAAGCAATGAATTATCCTTATATTATCGTTATTTGTTTGCCTTTTATGTTTATCATATTGTTCATTTTTTTATTATTTTGCGTCGCACTGTTTGTACATAAGAGATGACACAAGAATAAATAAGAAAAGTATATTGTTCCATAAAACCAAAAGACGTTCACGCATACTCAATAATAATACTATATCAATATATGCACTGGATTCGTAGAGACGCGCACACAGCAAGGTCGCGATCTGTAAATTAATTCATAGATATAAATCGGCCAATGCTAATCCAATTCTACGCATGTTGCGAATTACGGCACGAAGTACAGTGTTACGAGTAGTCGTCTCGTGCCAATTCTAGAAAGAGTGAGTGAGTGAGTGAGGGGACAAAACAGAACAAATGTAGGCGCCGAACAGTCAGTGAACATGAAAAAAGTTTAGGCAATGGCCTAGAATATGTTGGGGCGGAAAGAAAATAAAAGAAGATAGTAAATCGCCGATTGCCAAATTAATAGACGAAGCAGAGGGAAGGATAGGAAGAAAGAGGCGGCAAATAACGTGCAGTTTATGGTGGAAACAAGTGGCTCTTTGATATCGGAGCTCTATGATCCAACGCAGATGGGCAGGCTTGTTGAAAAGAAAACTGTCCTCCTATCATTTTCTGACCAACTTATTAATCATCTAGGCCGTTTTACAGTTTCCGCAACACCGACTCCACTCGCCTGCCAAAGTCGGAGGAGGTCATAGGTGATTCGGTCGTGTAAGGTAAGAGATAGACGCCAAGCCCCGCCCACTCAGCAGGACATCGACTGCCAGTTGACGCTTTCTTCGCAACTGTTGAAACGGAAGTGGAGGAGGTTTCGTGGCGTAAAATTTTAGGGGTAATCATTTAAGCAAAAAGAGATAGGAGAGGGGAACGATGCGAGAGAGAGAATATTAGAGGATAGAGATAAGAGAAGGAGAAGAAGAGGAAAGTGGAATAGTGAAAAAATATATTAATATACGGTATATGTATGTGCGTGTACATAAATACAGTATAAAAGGGAAAAGAAGAAAGAAGAAAGATTTTGCAAAAGGAGAAAAACTACAGAGAGAGAAGAGGAAAAATAATAAAGAAAAAAAAAAGAGGCTGTTCAGAGAAGAGAGGTCAAAAGACACATTTTTGCATTGCCTTTTTTGCTCACGCACCTTTTCGCCATTCGGCGGAAAAAAAACCACACCAACCTTATAAGAAAATAGAGAGAAAAAAAAGAAAATAAACTGTAAATGTAAACCTACGGCACGTCCTCCGTCGTTAATCAAAATTTGAATTGACTGCTTCATTAAACTGGCTTGAATGCTATCAATCGCAAACGTTCAAATTTCGCTCGAGCACCTTCGTATCATATTACGCCTTTTTCTACTCTTTAAAAATGGCCTCATACTCCTCTCTTTCTCTCATCTCTTCTAATCTGAAATAAGAACCTATACAGACGATTTTCGATGTCAACACTTATGGTAACCTAATCTACGTTAAATCATGCGTAAAGAACTGCCTCTAGAAGTCGGGTAGGAGCCGTTTATAAGACAAACATTGAGTGGACAGCAGGCGTAAAATATGAGTAGCGCCTGTTTCCGTCTAAAATTACCCTTACTTAAAAATATGGTCAAAGTGACACGTTGCCTGTTTTCTGTTTATGAAACAAATGGTGACGCCTTTTAAGGCGTTCTTGGCCGATAAACAATTATAATAAATCATTTTAATTCATTCTTTTAACAGTTGCGCCCTAAATTTGATTCATTATTCTTTCAATTTTGCGTTCTTACACACTGTAAAGACTTGTTTTTCTCTTTTTCTTTTCTCTCCCCCTCCCTCCCTCCCTCTTATTTGAATGGGAAGGAAAGGGGAAAAAGTATATTTCTGAGCATTGAAATCTCTGGCCGCGCTTCAATGAGCCAAATCAGTCAATTTTGTTTGGTGATTGATGTAAGGCAGTCGATTTAACTCTTGACTTTCTTTTCTTTACCTTTTTTATCGATCTGCCACTGACTTCTCGAATAACGACGCCATTCATAATTGGACGGGTTGACTAATTAAAAATTGCCCGATACGACCTTCCACCTCTCGAATAATTAATTAGCCTTATCTTTTCTTTTCTTCTCCTTCTTCATAACTCATAAGAATTCTATGTACAATCCCGCCCACCATTGGCAGTCATAACAACCGCCCTTTTACAACCTTCTTCAACGTACACAATTCAAGTTAACAACTAGCCAATGTGAGTATTAATTAATAATTAATTGTTATTTCGTAATAAAGTCTAGTTGTTGTTGGCGGGTAAATGCAACATATCAGCTTTGCCTGGGAATTCGTGACTTTGTTCAATTCCGTATTGAATTGCTGCTATGAATATACGCATAGGGCTATACAACTATGAGTGGAACGCATGCCCTCCATTGCCTTTCCTACTCCAACAGCTCTTAAATTTGATTCATCACGCCATCTTCCGTCTTCTCCGTCAATCGGTCGGATCAACTGACCGTCAGCCGGCCAGTCAGTCCCCCGCCCCTGCTTTTACAATCCACTCAGCTACCACCCATTACGATACAAAGTTTTACAATTAATCAACTTTATTCCGTTGGGAGTTTGAACGAGCCTTTTCTTTTCTTCCTTTCTCAAACCAATTTTGGGCAAACTCCCTTAATGCGATACTATACACAATATCCCATTGTTAAAGTCGCCATCTATCGATGGAAAGAACTACGAGGACATAGTTCAGGTGGAGGCTAACTAAATGTTTAGATTAAAATTATGAGGTTGTAGTTTTAATTATTGAAGATATAAGAGTACGAGTATGGTAAGTAAGAGAAGGATGAAGAAGAGAGGGTTAATGAGATTAAAGAAAGTAAACGGTGACAAACTTGGAGAGTTAGGAAATTGGAAAATGAAATAAAGAGAGAAAGTAATCAATTAATATACATATATTCTATCTATCTATCTATCTATCCCTTCCTCTTCCTCATCTTCTTTTCTCTTTTGAAGAGTAAAATGTTTATGGAAAAGAGAAAGGAGAAAAGTCATTAAAATTTGATATTTCGAAGGTTTTATAAACATTTAATTTTCCATCTGAAAGAATAAACGAATTTAAATAAAATGCAATAAATAAAGTCAAAGGAAAAAGCGAAATGGTAAAAAGGTAAAGAAAGATTGAAAGTAGGAAAAGAAACGGATCCAACAACCGCTTAGTCAACCCTTGAGTAACTCTTTTCACCCTCTCGCACGCCTCCTGTCCGTCGGCATCTAGGCAGCGTGTCGCCATCTGCAGTTTCACCTCAACGTAAAGCCTCGCATTGTTCACCAACCGTAATACAAAGAGGGTTATGAATAATGGCGCTAAAAATAACGGCGGTTCGCTTGCCCAGATTGATGATGTAAAAATTGATTGTACACTAATTTTACGCCTCATTCGGTCTACTTTAACTAGGGAATGAAGAGAGAAGAAGAAGGTGGTAAAAATAACAGAGAAGGATAAGCTCTAATTAATAAAGAAAAGGGCAACTCATCGGGGAGCGAAAAAGTCACCATCAGCTTTGCCGTATGTATTATTATAAGTAATGTTTTATTTGCAAAATATACAGTATTGTACGCTTCCTATCTATTTCTTTCCATCTACCTATCTACCTATCTGGCTCTCTATGTGGTGCCTCTTATATGAACACAACCGTACCTATACAGACACACACGCACACACAGACAGACAGACAGACAGACAGACAAGCTTGCACGCATGCATACATACGTACACATTTTAACCGTATTATTTTATGCAAAATGTTTGTTATACGTGCACTATGAATATATGTATATTTGTACAAATCTGTATAAATACGTATAAACGAGTAGAAGTTGTCAACTTGATGTTACAAAGCCAACTGTTTATTAAATTCACCTACGACTGTGCACAGCTAATAGTGTTCGGTGTGGGCGTCTGCTTACAAATATGCGTATGTATGCATGCATACATGCATGTATACATGTACAGCAGTAAGTATACACGAGCCTGTCTGTTTGCATACGCACCACACGCATACAGATAGCGGTACAAGCATGCATTCTAATATTTTGGTTTATAAATAGGGTCCAAGAGTTGTGGGGCCAGGGAAGCGAAAGAAAAGTAGAGAAAGACAGCCAGACAGAGAACGAGCGAGAGAGAGAGAGAGAGGGTAAGGGGGGAAGTTGGGGGGGAGGGGGGGTTAGGGCTTAAAATTGTGGGCGATAAAAAGCGACAGATTGTGACAGGTTCCCAAGTTGCCAGATGCCAGTACAACACAAAAAAAACCTTTTGAGATGAAAAAATTCGTATTTTGTTAGGTCTGAATAGAAAAGAGGCCTGTAATTCACCTGCAGACTACGCCTATATTCAGGCGCCATGCAGCGATCTCTCTTTATAGTTTATGCAGTCACTACCGAGCGCTACACTTGTACACAGCTGATATTTACCTATTGATTTTCCTTCTTTTCCTAAATATCCTTTATTTACTTCGATTCATTCTCAACAAATTTTCTCAATTCAGCACCAGCAAGACTATTCAAAGAGTGGAAGATAGACAAACGAAATACCAACAACAGGGAAGATTGGACAAGAATACATTCGTTTCTTACCTACAATATCTTGTATATACATATATAAATATTAGTATATTTATATATATATATATATATATATATATGGATGCATATAGTTCAATATAGATATTGGCTATATTTATATTCATATGTAGTATTGGTGGAAGACCCTTTTTCTACATTCTAAATACTCCTTGTTTGACGGTATTGAAAGAGTATACTCCTTTTTAGAGCTACCTCATGTCTTCACCTCACTCGGACCTCATGGGTCAAGTAGGTAGGTGTGACGTAACTTTTTTTTTCTCTTCCTATATAGATAGTATATACGCTCTATATGGATATTTAAATAATATCTCTGCCTCTATCTCTCTCCGACTCTTAGCCTCTTTTCTCATTGTTAATTTAATTATATAGCGAACTATTTACGTTTCGTTGAGTAGTAACAAGAAAAATATTTTGGGCCGAAAAATGAAATTAGCCCTAAAATTAAGGGTCAGTCAGGATTCACGCGTTGTCCTAGATTGGGGACAAGGCGTAATCTAAATTGCAATCGATATTTGTTCGGTTTTAGAAGGCTACACGCTGTACTTAAGAACGTCATAATGAGAGCATCTCGTATAAAAAATATACTTTTTTCCAACTGATATACAGTATATATATTAGAAAATATTTTCTCTATAACCGTATCTACTAGGTATATAAGATAGTCTGAGTAGTTTACAATGATGCCAGTAACAGAGAGAGAGAGAGATTAGCTTTCTTCAAGATTAAAATAATAAGATTCTTTATTTTTCAGATTTAATAAATAATCGATCGAGCGATTTAAAATCTCCAGGATCTATTCCGTCCCTCTCTCCCTCTTCTTCATCGATATCGTCACATTTTAGTCCTCCAATTCAAATTTCCCCTTCGAAAGATCTATGCGCCATCTGTGGAGATAGGTCGTCTGGCAAGCACTACGGAGTTTACTCGTGCGAAGGATGCAAGGGATTTTTTAAAAGAACGGTTCGTAAGGATCTCACATATGTCTGCAGGGACGAAAGGAACTGCGTTGTCGATAAAAGACAACGAAACAGGTGACTGTCTGCTTTCATTCTATTTCAGTTTAATTTCTATCTTGTCTTGCCCATTCACTGTACTCTTAACAAATTTCATCAACTCTCTTATCTCTAGTTAACCTCATCTTCCTTATCAACGCCCTACTCCTTCTCTTCACCCCTCTAGTCAAATCGTTCAAAAATCGTTTCAATATTTCTAATCGTATTGAGTTACAGATGTCAGTACTGTCGCTACTCGAAATGCCTGAGAATTGGTATGAAAAGAGAGGCTGTTCAGGAAGAGAGGCAGAAGGCTAAGGACAAGAATAATGAAGATCAAGTGGAATCTTCCACGTCAGTTAATTCTGATATGCCGCTCGAAAAGATTTTGAATGCTCAACTAGCGGTTGAGCCGGTTAATGACACGTACATAGATGCCCCTGATAACGCCATTCAAAACATTTGCCAAGCGGCCGACCACCAACTCGTTTCACTAGTCGATTGGGCAAAGAGAATTCCACATTTTATTGATTTAAATCTTAAAGATCAGGCAAGTAAACTATTTTCCAAAGCTTAGTCTCCTAAACGAACGATATCTAAATAACAAAACTCCTATTTATCCTTTGCTCTTTTATCACTCTTTCTCCTTTGAAATTCATCGGTTCATTTATCTATATCTATTTATCGATCTATCCTTTCTCGCATCCATTTAACCATTTACTCCACTTTTATGTTTTCTCTTATCCATTACTTTTTAATAGGTTGCCCTCCTCAAGTCTAGTTGGAATGAATTACTTATCATCAACTTTTGCCATAGAAGTGTGGCAGTCGAGGAAGGTCTTTTGCTTTCAACTGGTCTCCATATACATCGCTCCTCCGCCCATCAGGCGGGCGTTGGTGTTGTATTCGACAGGGTCCTAACAGAGCTAGTCGCTAAAATGAGACATATGAAAATGGACAAGACCGAATTGGGATGTCTCAGGACAATTATTCTCTTTAATCCAGACGCGAAGGGTCTAAGAGACGCTAGAAAGATTGAATCTCTCAGGGAAAAGGTCTACGGCAATCTGGAAGAATATTGTAAGCAAAAATATCCAAAAGAGCCCGGTCGGTTTGCTATGCTTCTCCTCCGATTGCCTACTCTCCGATCGATAGGCTTAAAGTGTATTGAACACTTGTTCTTTTTGAAGTTGATCGGTGACACACCTATAGATAATTTTCTTATCGAAATTCTCGATTACAATCAACATTGCCACGGGAAAAGTTAAAGCAACGACACAATAGGAAACAAAAGAAGCATCTTCTCACCTTCGACCTTTCACACTTAACGATATTAATCCATTCAATTTTCGTATTTTACGCTTAGTTTTATCAATAATAAAGAGAAAATTAAGATATAAAAATTCCATTCAATTTTCTTGTCAAGTAAAAGAAACGAGCGACAAACAATTGCAAATTTTTTCATCAAATTATTCGCATAGAAAGAGAGAAAGAGAGAGAGAGAGAGAGAGAGAGACCTCCGTAAAGCTATCTTCCTGTTTAACGAGTAAAATAGGCAATAGATGGCGCCACAACACCAAGGAATGAAAATTCTCCAAGCAAGAGATAAGAGTACGTGTAGTTTGACTACACCAATCTATATTGTTCATTTGAACATGTAAAAGATATAATAGAATCAATCGATAAGTTGTACCGATAAAATGTAAACAAGGTTCAAAGCATGCATCTGGTCAAATTAACATAATCTTTATTTGCATAATCGGTTCGAACAAGATTTCCGCAACCTGCGCATCTCTTTTATTGTTCAAGTATCATCGAACATACAGATGCTGCATATACAAGTTCGATTTTGAAGTTTATACATGTGTAATCCGTGAACGATGAGAAATTTTATGAAATTTTGTTACCAGCGTGACATAATAAGATTACACCATAGTGTAATTATAGAAACGATATATTTATACAGTAGCGAAAGAACACTGCCAGTACACACACATATATACAGCATATATATATATATATATATATTTTCAGTAGGTATACGTAATATAACCTGTAACTTGTAACGAATACCAAAACTTATATATAGACACGTTTCATCTCTTCTCTTACGCAACAATCTATGACGTCAGGGGAGACTGCGGAGAGATGAATTGCGACGAGATTAGCCAGTGTAAGAAATGAGCAAGCCGTCAAAAAGGACTGTTGTCATTTCTACTGCTTAGGCGTTAGACTAATACATTTACATAAGAATCAGCAGGATATAAGCGTTTAAGGGAATAGTAAGCATTCAAGCGCATGAATGAGTGAATAGATGAGACATGTTTGGAGAATATAAAAGGGAAGATGGACAAGTTTGAAAATTTTAAAGAGATGGATAGATGAACGAACGAATGAATGAACGGATAATATTGATAAAATGGTGGTTGTTTGTTGTATGGCGTAGAATATTCAAGTGGCAAATGCTGGTGTTCAATAGACGCACATGTATCGACTGCATATATTTAGGTGTTGGGGGAATGAGAAGAGTAGAGCTCAATGATCAAAGAGTAGGAGAGATATAGATATGGAAGAAGGGAGAGAGAGAGAGAAGGGGAGTCACAGATACAAAGGGGAAAGGCGTATGGTTATACGGCGCGTAAAAGTTTTCTTCCTATTGAATTTCACGAAATGAAAAGTTTTTGATAAAAAAGAAAAAAATAGAACGTTAAATATAATTATAATATTCTTGTAATGAAAATTCTCATAATCTAGAAATTAAATCCAATCGATGACGTAATCCAACAATAAGCTGGCGTTATCTGCACGATCTACTCGGTTAATAGTCGTCCAAAAGTGACGTCCCGCCGAGATAGCTGGTGTTCAATTTAACGCTTCGAGGCGTTCATTTACATAAATTGTCGACCGGATTTTATTTAATTTACGTAAACTTTCATTAATGAAACTTGGATTATTTGTTTCCAACTGTTCCTAGTACTCATTGGCACCTGTAATAATCATTTGTAAGATTTGCTCGTATTTTCTTATTCTCGTATCCTTGTCTGAGAGAAAAAGTTTGCCAACGGAAATCATTTTCATTTCTCTCTATAGCATTCCGATATTAACCATGTCTCTCACTCTCTCTAGCTCGATAGTCCGTTCTTCTCTTATTCGTTTTAGCCCTGTAAAGTCACCGCCTTCGACCTAATCTTCAGTGGATTGCAAGCCGTGTTAGCCTCCCCTCCCTTTTCATTCTCTATTTATCTTCTCATTAACTTTCCAAGAACGATAGGGAATAAAAGAATTTCGTTCGTATCCTAAATATTCCCACTGTCAGACATCAAACGCCCGTTTCGGCAGCGTTTAATTGCCGCTTAAAACGGCCGCACCTGTTGAAGCGTTTGATGTTTGTCAGCTGCAGCAAACGTTTTTTAGCAAGAGGCGTTTGATTGAATTCTCGGGAGGAGGCTTCTTGTTTCTTTTTTACACGAATATTCTTATTATTATTATGTTTTTATATTTTTACTTCATTAAAAATACATTTATCAAAAGTAAAAGAATAAAATTCTCTGTTCTTTTTAATTAAAGCAAACAGATTTTGTAATTGGATTAAGCAGCGATTCTTTCTCTCTCTCTCTCTCTCTCTCTCTGTACTCTTGGAAGCTAACCTGCTTTATTGTCTTATTGTCTTGTAGCAGTTGTGAATGTACATATGCACAAATAGATTTTCGATATAATATATGTTTCCAAGAATTTATCCAAGATGATGTAAAGTAATTTGAATAAAATTGTATAAATAAACACGGTAAAAAAATAAATAAGGGCATAAACGAACGAATGGAGAGACGGATAGGCGGACGGACGAACGGACGGGCGGATGGATGGACGGATGGATGGATGGATGGATGGATGGATGAATGAATGAATGAATGAATGGACCGACGGACTGACGGATAAGCGAACCGATGGCTACAAGAGAATATTTACTAATAGAAGAAAGAAGAAGAAGAAGAAGAATAAGAAGATGAAATGAAAAAAAAAAAGACCTAAAAGCGATACGAATAAAGTTGATTTGAAGTTAAAACAATATCATTCGGTATATGTCTTAAAAGAAAACAAATAAAAAAAGTAAAGCAGATGAAAACACTAAGCAGATGCAAGAACCCCATAGGTTACACGAATCAAATTAAGGCCTATATAATATAAAGAAAAAAAAGCTTTTCCAAGTAAAATCTAATCTGCAACGCAGACGAATAAATTTGATAATCGAAGCGATTATTAGTGCTTCACCTTGTCTTTTTCTTTTTCTTCTTCGTCTTCTTCCCCCTCTCCTTCTCTTCCTTTCTCCCTCCTTCCCGTTCTCAAATCCGCCCTCCGTTCCCACCTTCTTCCACCGCTCCCTCTATGTCCATCTCTATCTATCTTTTTCTCACACGATCTGTCTATCTGTCTATCTGCCTATCTATCTATTTATCTCTGTTAACTCTTGTCAACTTGTCATTTTGAAAGAAAACGGCAGTAGCGATCCGTTTCGGATGTTTTACGGACGGAAGCAGGAAAGGTGGGAAGAAAGAAAGAGAGGGGGGAGGGATACGAGGAGGTGGAAAGTGAGAAAAAATGAGAGGAGAGAATTTTCTTTCGATTGCCCTTTCTCCTCTTTCTTTACTCTATTGCCTCCTCCCACACCACGCAACACCTGTTCTACATGGACGGACAAGAAATATACACTGTTTTCGCAATTCGAATAGTTAATCGTATCGATTTATGCATAGACATCGCGACAGGCATTCGGACGTCTATTATGCAGGTGAGTCAATAAGCTGTCAACGCCTCCATCTATAAGGATTAGGTGGATAATACCGCGTATTGCATTGGGTGGCTTGATTTTATCGAATGTTTCTCTTGCGCAAGTGGAAACTGTAGCCGACGTCTACAAAGTTGCGTTGAGGGGTTAGTCTTTGTTTGTTTATTTACGGTAGACATGTTGTAAAGAAATGTGCACATTTGTGCAGACATCTCTTTAATGGTTTGTATAAGATTCTTTGTACTCTTCTTCCTTCTATCTTTTCTTTCCATCTTTCTTTCTCTCCTCCTGGAGAGATTGGAGCGGCCGACAAAATTTAGCAGATACACTTAAACACACGCCATCAAACAGACGCACACGCTAACATTTTCAACGATTACGAAACCTTTTTGATTGTGTAATAAAAACTCTCCCAGTTTATTTGCTCGTTTCGTAATCAATCACGTGTCTTTTTCTATGTCAAATCGTATCGATAATATATCGAATTAAGAACTTTATTATAAATGGCAAACTAGTAATGTTGGGGAGGTAAAAGGAAAACAAAAACAATATTTCTGTTTGGATTAGTAGCCTGTTCTCTCTTCCTCTCTCTCCATCCTCTCTTCCAAGTACAAACATATACAGTTATATAAAATATTCTCGTTTTCTCCTTGCCTACTGAAAGTAGAGAAGATTAGAGAAAGATGGCCGGAAAAATGACAAGAGACTGAATTTTAAAAATTTGCTTAAAACTAAAAATAGAATAATTCAATTCAATTCAAAATTCTCCATTTAAAAATTTTAATTCAATAACATAATTTTTCACCAACAAAGAAGAGAAAAAGCATCGTTAAAGGTCGACCAAGTCTCTCTTCTATGTCCTGTTTGGTTCTTTCTACTACATGCTTTGTTTGTATGTCAATTTTAACAAACTTAAGTTTATTATATTGAACAAAGAAGAAATAAGAAGAACATTTCTTGACATTTTTTTTTGTCCGAAAAGAGTGAGAGAATCTACTGCAAAACTGGAAAAATAGAAAAAAATTGATAAATTAACTCTTTTTTCCAGTTTTGTTATATATTTTGTTAAGTGTTTTTAAAATACGATTTTTACTGTAAATTCTAAATTGATTATTCTCTATTTGGCATTTTTTTTCTTCATTTTTATTATTCGACTGCATATTTGTTTCATTTTTTATGTTTTGAATTTTTACAAAATGTACAAGTTTCTTTTAATCTATTCATTTCCAATTTCATTTTCTATATAAATTATGTTGTTTTTAGTTTCATTGTTTTTTCCCAAATTTTTTATCTGCTCATCTAGAATGGAAATGAATAGGAATCGACGGAAAAGAGCGGGGGCAGAGAGAGAGAGAGAGAGAGAGAGAGAGAGCCGGGAGAGTAAAGATGATGATAAGCACCAAATATATAAAAGTATATAATTATCGAACCAATCCAATACAGCCAGAATCTCTGTGTTTTGTTAATAGACTCATTCGAGAAAAAGTTTTTGAACAAGTTGAACATGAATACTTCTTAACGTCTGAGTGAGTTTGGAGGTGAGCTCTTAAATTCGACCTATCCGCAAACGCCCTTCCACAATGTGCACAACTGAACGGCTTCTCTCCTGTATGAGTACGAATGTGACCTTGCAGAAGCCAGGGTCTGGAAAAAGCTTTTCCGCACAATCGACACTTGCACGGTAGCGTATGCGTTCTTATATGCATCTTAAGAGCCCCCAAAGATGTGTAGGTTTTATTGCAGTATTTGCAGGACAATTCCTTTTTACCGTGTTCTGCTGAGCAATGGAATTGTTTATGCTTCGACAAGCCACTAAAAGTTGCGTAGGCTTTACCGCAAGATTCACAAGTATATTTGATATTTGCCGATGCAACTTCTGGCTTCTTTTTACGGACTTCCGTGTTAAAAGGCGGTGAAGGATAAAATCTTGGAGGTATTTGATAGGGAAGAAGGTGTGACTGAAAGTAGGGGTTCATCAAAAACGGAGGTGGCGGTCGAGGTATATTCCAAAAGTTGTATATTTCGTCGGGCTTGCTAGGTTTCGATAAAATATCGGCAATGCGGAAGACGGCTAGATAGAAAGAAAGAAGAAAACAACGTTGAATGATTGATCATAAATGAAATGAAAAATGTTTGCTTGAACGGCCGACGAACAAACGAACGAAACTGGTTAATCTTGAACAATTTCCCTCTCGACGCGGTTCTCTGGGCCCCCTCCCTCTCATAATTTAATACCTTGAATACATAGAATACACGAGAAGAACGTAACGGCACTCGAGTCGAATAAATCCAATATACAATATACAAGTATAGAGTGTGTATATACGAAGAAATAACATTCAATTATTCAATTCGTCTCGCACGGCCACACCGCCACACCTACGCACGCGTACTTGTTATATTCTTCTAACTCCGACTCTTTATTCTCTATAAAGCCGCTGATTAATGTTCTAATTTGTATATACAGTATATATGTAAATGTAGGCTTAACACGCCATGTATAATTTTTTCTATATGGTTATTAAAGGAGAAATTGGAGGGGGAAATGGGAGAGGGAGAGGTTTCAAGAGAGAACAACACAGCTAGAGATGCTGCAAGATATAGCAAAGACGAAATGAACATAATTATTACAGAAGATAGAAATATATACAATCCGAAATAGTATGAAATGAAGAAACTGAAAGGAGAACGGTCATAGTGGAAAAGAAAAAAGAAAAGTTAATGAAAACCCGAGGTTGATGGACAAATTTCTCCGTTCTCACCGCTATTTATCAAGATTTATAAGTCTAGAATTATAGTTTACTCTATAATTAGAAAATAATTGCACAAAGAGAAAATAAAGAAATTGACGTCTACCTGGCGTTTTTTCTTTTGGTGTCGATGGTATTTCCTTCTCAGTAGAGACGACGTCAATAAATTCGTCCTCCTCCTCCATAGCACTTTTGACGATGATTTTCTGCATAAGATACCGACTGCCTTGGGCGTAACTATACCGTTATCTAAGCACGAGGCGGCTCTTATAGAATACCCAACAGCCAATCAGCGTATGGGAATCGGCCGACTGATTAAAAATGTTGTCCAATCAGAGAGCAGCGACGAAAATCTTAGTTTTCGCCAAAAAAATCCGCAGGTGGCTTGACTAAACAATATTATGGGAATTGTCAAAATACGGCGAATAGTCGTCTTTCTATACTAAATTCAATTTACTCGCGCCGATTTTCGTATTTTCCCATAGATGAACAGAAGCGTTTGTCAGTTTTGCACGTGCTTACCGCAAATGACTGTAAAAGATCAAACCGCTTCTGTAAGCGTATAAAGTAGCTCAATTTATTCTAATTGCCTTATTCGTTACACTAAGCGTTTATTATTGCGAAAATTCGACTCTGTTTGTATACGTATGTCTGTGTATGTGTGTACGCGAGTGTTTATGTGTGTTTTTTCAATTTCGCATCATTCTGGATGAGAAGGATGGATGGATGGATGGATAGATGGAATAATAGGTTGACGAAGGGACGGTTGGAAGATGCATAATTTGATTGACAGTAACGAAAAGTTGCGGACAATGCAAGAAGGGTGAGAGAGAGATGGACTGTGGCAAAGAAGTAGACTGCGCGTTTGTAAAATTGTTTTTGTGAGCGTGCAGTATTTTGCAATAGAAACATTGAGCGGTTTGCTCTTTAAGAATTGCATTAACGTAGAGTCTAATGATGCGGCGATGTTTGGTAAATAAGGTGGAAAAATTTCTCCTCCTCCTGGGACTTTTTAGTTTCGGAGTTGGGTAGTAGCTGTTGCGTTGGTCACTTCTTCTTCCCTTTCTCTTGCGAATAGTTGAAAGATTTTTTGGGAGAAGGAGAAAAAGAAGACTGGAAAAATGTATGTATACATTTCTCGACAGCTGATAAGGCCCGACAGTTGTATTGGAGCGTGCGCCATTTCGAAATCGCACGTGCAACGTTCGCAGGTTGATTTATTATATTTTTTCTGAAAAATTCCTCCGCACACGTATCACAATAAAAGTAGAAAAACAAAATCTCAACTCATTCTCACGCCCGATTCTCTCTGATTCGTCAAATCAAATTTTCCACAATTTCATTCACTTGTTTGCCCAAGAAATTAGCAGACATCGACCTCTTCTGACTCCTCGCGCGCCAGCTGAGCCCGTCTATTACATCACTTTGTGATATTATGTAATCCCGTTACACGTCGTCAGTTTTCCTTTTAGGAGGGAAAGTTTTAAAAAGAGACGAACAAGCAGACAGAGGAAAATAGGTAAAAGCCAATATCGCTCCGTGTTAGATCACTCACTAGCTCAACCATTCCGTCTAGGAAGAAGAAAAGAGCGAGAAAAAAGATTTAGTGGATCTTTTCAAAATAAAACTATCTTCTCTTTCCGTCTTTACAGTAATTGGAATGGCATTTAATTCCAAAATTAGGCCTATTTGTTTGCTTGTTTCAGTAGTGATTTTGAAGCGATTGAATAAGTAGTAGTGTATTAAAAGGGAGGAGCGGCGGAAGGATTGAGTAGAATTTTGACCATTTTTTTTATTTATTACAATTAATGGAAGAGCTAGAGAAGGAAGGAAGAAGGAAAGAAAATAGTAGAAAAAGAGAAAAATGAAAGAATTGGAATTGCATTTTACGGGAACTGCCAAATCAATAAATCAAGCTGAGAACGTTCTACGAGCAAACTATAAACACTTGTATACGAAAATAATCAAACGAATGATAGATTATCGCGTTGACAAACGTCTCCAAGTTTGCCGTCGGCATTTCTTTATTCCTTTCCCGCCTTTTTCAGTCCATCTCTATGCGCATCATTAGGCTATTATAGGCAATTTTGATTAAGAAATATTAGATAAAACTTGCAAAATGTACCCATTAACAACACTACAACTGTTTGCGGTTGATTAGTTATAGAGAAAAGAGGAATTTTTCAATACCTTCAATGCCTTCAATATATTTACTACAATGTCCATAGAAACTGTACCAAATGATTAGAGTAAGGTACAGAAAAAATTCTCTTGGACGCAAATGAATATAAATTTCGGACAACTGCAAAATTTCTGCACGTGCTCTACAGACTGCACTTGGCCATAGAAATCCTGTTCCTCCTCTTCTTATTTGTACTACACCTGCTTTTATCCTTTTTTTACTGTATTTTTCTTTTTCTTCTTTGCTCTTTCTCCCCGAATATTGCCGTTTCTCTAAATCTCTAAATCTGTCTTCAAAAGGATTGGTGTAGACAAAAATTAGATATATTCTCCATTTCTCCATTTGATGATCAATTTTTCTCTCCTCCATCAATAGATGATTTATGAAGGGCGACGAAAACTGGTCGTAAACGAATCGAGTTGAATTTAAGCGAAGAGGTAGAGAGAGAGAGAGAAAGAAAGAAAGAAAGAAAGAAAGAGAGATAAAGAAAGTTAAACGATTTATAAAAATCAGTCGTCTAGGACGATATAAACGATAAACAAAGTAGCTACAAAATTTGTAACTTCATTTACGTGCCAAAGATTTTTTCTTCTGCGTGAAGAATGAAAAAATAGTCTAAAAAAACTTGGACGCTGATATATAGATTTTATTGCCCGTAGTAAATGCGCATAAAGCTGGAACTGGACAGTAACGAAATTAGCGTAAACGAGCGCACAGATGCAGTAGCCTCTTGAAAACTGCATCAAGCGCGTTTTGCTCCAATCAACAAATTAGCCTGATTCACTAGCGAATATGGATGAAATCAAATGTTTGCTAGGTTTGTTAGAGATTACTCCTATTTTTATACGCCTAATTTTCTAATAAAAATTGATTGCCATCTTCTCTCGCTTTAACTAACTAGAACTTTTACAAGTCTTTTTCTTCACCGCTAGATGACGCTACCACATCACAGGCACCTTCCAACTTTGATGTAGATGGCGAAGGGTACTTGCTTAGAAAAATCTCTTCTTTTCGCAAAAGAAAAGAACTTTTTTTTTTAAAAAAAAACATGAGAATATAAACAAAAAGTTAATAAAACTGTTTACAATGGACGATGTTTCTGTTCAAATTTTACTTCCAGTGTTCAACAGTGAAATTCTTTTTATCTCTCACTCTCTCTCTCTCTCTCTCTCTCTCTCTCTCTCTCCAATAGGGTTTTAAACCAATAGAGAGCGACATCTACCGAGTATGGAAAAGACCAGAGAGGGGAAGAGGGCGACAACTAACGGGCACTTCTTCCACTATGGGCATAACACTTTTCTTGCGATTTGGCCGTAAATAGAAGTAGGTCGATTTTAAAGAGGAAAGACAAACTTAGCATAATTGAGTTTCCTATTAAGACATAATTAACATTTCGCGGAAACGACTGATTGGGGATGGGTGAGGGAGATAAATTATAAAAAAGAAACAAAGTACAATAGGTGGCGCTACGATCAAAGAATAAAGTTTTTTTACGTTTATACGCGTGTGTATGTGTGTATGTGTGTGGTGTCGGCCGAGTATCTTATGTATCCGTGTATAAAAATAGAAAATCCAAATATTAGATGCAGCATCAACTGCACTAGTAGTTTTTTTTTTCGTTTTCGCCGTAAAGGATGGTCTTAAAACTGTTGGTTTCGAAAGACTGTGGTAATTTACAGGTTTGTTTCGTAAATTAATGAGGGAAGAGGGAATTATCTCGAAAAGAGATTAGCTATGATAATTCTATCAAATGATTCTAGATGAAAAGTCATCAAGATCATATAAAGAGAGTTTTCGAGTCGAAGAAGATCTCTTTCGTCGAGGTGGACGTTGGTAGACCTCAAACTGTAAAAGAAAAAGAGAAACTATTAGACATGCTGCTAAGTCCTCCTCAGATATTCAACGGCGATATAAACCGTGGCGTAAGTTGTTACTAACCAAAAAACATTCAACCCATTAGAATGAATGTATCTATCTCTATTCGATTATGGCGTCTATTTTCAATTTGTTTTTCTCTCTTTCCCTCTCCCACTATAGGACTACAGCACCTTCCTTAATGCTCTTGAAAACGAGAAACTCTTCGAATACTTGGATATTAACTGCCCTGAAGAGGAAGTTGAATACATTTATAGCCAACAGATGGCAAGAGGTACTGACTAAGAAGAGGTCAAAAGACCAAGTGAATATTTATATATCGCAATGGCATGTTACGGTATAGAAAGTATAGAAATTGGACGATATTCTCATTAGAAAAGACGAAACAAAAGCTTTTATAGATATTTTCTTCTTTTTTCGTATTCAAATCGAATTAAAAAGGGAGAGAAGAGAGATGCGTTCCCTCTCTCTATCTTTCTTTTTTTCTTTCTCTTGTCCCGGTAGGCCTATTAGTATTCTTTACATAGTTTTTATTCGTCTCTAATACACATTTTCGAAGAAATCTTTCAAAAAGTAAACAATATAAATTGCGCATATTCATGTGATTCGTTAGTAACAAAGCGGAGAAGGAGAGGAAGAAGAAGAAGAAGAAGAAGAAGAAGAAAGAGGGAAGGAGGGCGGGGCGGACAAGGTAAATGATAGACAAAAAGATTCAGCTTGTTTAGGGAATGCTAACTGACGGGCTATTTTATGGTCATTTACTTACGTGTTTTTCCTAATCCTCACGATTATGTCTACTCATATTAACGTATTATTTCTTGCAAATTAGATCTAATCATCCTGTTCTTTCATTCTTTATATTACTCTAATTATTTCCTTATATACACAAAAACAATCTTTTCCCTCTTATTCATTTACTTCTTTTAGTCACTCGGTCGTTCATTTTTTCTGTCTTCATTTCTGTCTTCCATTTTCTTCCACCTTTCTTCGTTGATCTTCTCGAACCGGCCGCTCCTTCCCTCGTTACAGATGGCGTTACTTAAACTTCCACATCGGGAAAGCTGATATTAGACACTGGGGTGGAGGATTAAGTAGAAAAGGGAATTTCTCCCGTCTGTCTGTCCAGTCTCTTTAATAAGAAAGAGAATGCTCTTGAGAAAAGAAAGGGAAAAATAGAAGGGAGAAAGGCCTGCTAAAATCATCTGTGTTGACCTTGTTAAGTTTGTTTGTGAAGCGGAAAGCAGAGGGTGAAAAAGAAAGTTTAAGAGTCAGAGTTAAATTAATTAGAGTTACAGTTGAAGAGTCCAAAGTAAAGTATATAAAAAGTTGAAGGAAAAGCTTAAAGTTGTTTAGTTAAGAGCCACACTCTACAAGGAAATTCTTTTATTCAGTCTCCGCAGGGCGTCGATAGTCAAAAGAATGTCGATTTTTCCCCAATCATTTTCGTTTTTAGCTCATAACGACAAAGAAAATTTCCTCTTAATCGGCTCTACGATGGGTGGGCGTCTAGGGTTTCGACGACTAAATAATTAGACGTCCCGCTCGTCAACAACTTAACGAGCGTCTAACTGGAAAACGACGCCGGAACGGCGGAAGCGTCAATGTCACGAGTACCGGCGCACGTGACTTAGTTTGATTTGCATTATTGGTTGTAAAAAGGTAGAAGACAGTGGGACGTGCTTTTGCTTGCGCTCGAGCACGTGTGGTGAGAAAAACAGACAGGCATAGACGAATAGATAGACCAATAGCTATATAGACAGATAGATAGATAGAGAGAGAGAGAGATGGGAGGAGGAGAAAGAGAAAAGTTGAGAGCTAGTTAATAGTTAGAAATATACAGTAGCGAAAGGGAATAGACCTTATTTTTCACCTGTTGTTGAGGGAGGGAAGAACGAAGAATTAAAGAAAAACTTGTAAATCTGATAAAACAAACAAACAAACAACTATTTTTTCTGGCGACAGACAAACAAGAGAAGATAAACACTTGAATAAAAGTAGGCACACGCTGACAAGTTTATTCAGAGGGAACACTTTAGAAATTTAAATCCCTTATAAACTGACGTCATGAGGTCCCTACTGAGTTGTCGACACGCTAAAAAGTAGCGTCTAATTGAACAAAGGCAGTAGTTAATTTAATAAAGTCGAGGTGTCGAAGAGACGACGAGAAGGGAAAAAGTGACACTTGTAAATTGCTAGTCAAAATAGCATCAAATTATTTCCTGTTTAATGTCTCCATCTCTTCCCGCCTCTTCAGGCTCCGCCCCTGTCTCACCTTCATATAAATAAAGGTAAACTTGAAAAGTTTGTGATTTCTTGTTATAGAAGCGTTGAGAATTTTGTAAAAAGTAGACAAAAGGAGAGAAGTATAGAGTAAGTGAGAGAGAGAGAGAGAGAGAGAGAGAGAGAGAGAGAGAGTGAGTGAGTGAGTGAAGGAGCGGGCAAGAGAAAGAGAAATATAAATAATGTATACGGACGGCTATTACGGTCCTCAATTTGTCCACTATCCTCAATCAACCTACGACGATAGATGTCAAAGACATTCATGGTTTGTTTAATGTTTTTTGTTTTATTGTTGTTGTTTTTGTAATTAGTCTGGTTATTATTAATATTAGTTAATTATCATTATTATTACTATTATTATTATTATTATTATTCTCAATCTTTTCTCTCTTTTTCTCTTTCTACAATTTGTTATGAATTTAATGCTAAAACAAAATCAATGAAATAATTTGGTTAGATTTGTTTCAAGAAGATAGTTTGTTAGTTGGCTTGTTTGGCTATTTGTCTACTTTACTCTAAATCTATCAGTTCATCTATCTTTATCAACTATGCTTTCTCTTTCTGTCTCTCCCCTTCTCTGTGTGATAGGAGAGCCATTCCCTCTAAGCTCTCGGCAAATTGAATTAAACTAAAAGCAGATTGAGATTGTGTTTGTCATTTGTTGGGTGGTTATTGTGAGAAAATGGCTGTGCATAGCCCTAATTAGGAGGGTGTTCTTTTGGCTATTGATATTTACCATTGCTGAATGACTGTCAAAGTATTCGTAATTATGTCGGAGGCGCAGCTATTTAGAGTTTATATAATTGGATTTTTTCAAATAAAAAGGTTACATAGTATACATTATTCATGTCTGGATATAATTTCGCTCAATTTTCACACATTTAATCGTCTCTTCTCTATGTCTACAAGCTTAAATTCTCCTTTATACATCTAAACTTGCTTAAAAGTTAATCTTGTAAAACATTTGCTGCGCATGCGCACTGTAAGAGGATAAGGGAATTTGTCTAAATACGGATAAATTGTACAATTTGTCAAAAAGAATAAAATAAACGATGAAAGAGAGAGAAAACTCTTAGCAGACGGCCAGTGACGTCGTTTTTCTCATCATACTCTTAATTTCTATTAAATTTGATCTGTAGGGAAAGAACAAATCGGGATCCGTCAGATGGCGCCTCTCTATCCCTAAAATCGGGCAGCGAATGCGTATAATACGGATAAAAAAATGCGCGACCCTCTAGCGTTGCGTAACGAGAGTTGTAACAATGATACGGTCGTGCCACCGACAACGAATAGTTTACGTAAGCAATTATATGTCCAACTCGAGCACGACATCATTTTACGGAGAAGTTTGCCCTGTTTGTACAATCTGGCGAGACGTTATGCATCGCCAACTAGTGTAAAGCTTGCCAGGCGTTTACGCGTTACTTTTTTTCATCTTGTTATCTACTCGACTTGTCTGAGAATTTTTAATAGATTTGGTCAGTCAGAGAAAAGCAATAGGGAGAAACATACTCGCCCTTCGATAAATTAGAAAGCGTGTTTTTACGATAGCAATTTCATTCTAGAGTCGTCTTACGCAGAGAATAAGAGTACATTGACTAAGACAATAGCGATGATGATGTTGTTGATGTTGATAAGAAGAGGAAGAAGAAGAAGAAGAAGAAGAAAACTAACAACAAAAAGTATTAGAAATGTCAAGTGGATGAAAGGGAGAAACGAAATGAAAACAGATGTCATTAGCGTTGTTTGTAATTGATTGAACATTGACATCTATGGAGGAAAAAATATAAAGAAACAGGGTAAAGGGGTAAAATTTTGCCCAGGAAACGGAAATTAAAGATAATAATAAAGTGGGCAAAATGAACGATTTTGTCAGAGCTATAAATCATGATAAAGTTGGGTGTAATTAAATGATTTCTATCGACGCCTCGTTATAAGCATATAAAATACGAGTGCCTATATTGGGTCAACCTAGTTTAGAATGCAGCCTCTTCTATTTTTCCCAAATCTAGTTCAATAACTTGAAAGATTTGCAAGATGAATTAAGAGACGGCCGACCGTCTAATTTACAAGTTGTAACAGTAGTCGGAATAGGAGATGAGGTTCGCGAGCGTGTGATGAGAATAAATTCAAGTTTGCCAAGAAAAAAATAACATTTCTAGTTGGGAATAGAGAAAGAAGAGAAATAAAAAGTTGCATTTAGAGGGAGGAGTGGGAAGATCGAAAGAAGACAATTTGGGATTTTAATAGAGTAACGGACGAGTAATTAATTAACGAAGAAATGAGCTGAAGAAGATAAGCATCATTACAGAAAACTGGTTTTAGTGAGGAATGAGGAGGAGGAAGAGAGGGAGGAGTAGGGAGAACGAAAGAAGAAATTGACTAATTAACTAAGAGAGAGAGAGAGAGAGAGAGAGAGAGAGAGGGAGAGAGAAGGGCGAGGAGAGAGAGAAAGTAAAATAAATAATGTGAAATTAATGTTGGAAAATGTTGAATGCATGAAAAATGTAGATTTTTTTTTTCTACAAAATTTAATAGGCTTTTTATCGGAAAAATAGGCGTATTAATTTCAAAGGAACTTGTTTTACAATAATTTAGAAGGATATTAATTTACGTTACATAACGAAACATTAAAGAACATATATAAATGTCTATGAGACGGAAAAAATTGTAAAATATAGTGTCTGGCAATTAGCGCCTCCTGGTGGCCGCTTTATTTGCCTTGCTGAGTGGCTATTGGTGTGGCATACGTAATGAAGAGTGGGCAGGAGTAGAGGAGTTTTTCAGTTATAAGGCTATAGAATGTCGTCGTTGTGTGAATACGGTATAGCGGCGGCCGCTGCAATGCATCATCATCATCATCATCATCACCATAGCCATCATATGCTTCATCATGCTCCATCGCAAGTTTTCCAGCATCCAGCACCGGCTTTAACGAATTTCGACGGGTTTGTGAAAATTTTGTCCTTATCAGAATCTTACGCATTCGCGCTGTCAATCGAGGATTTTCGAAGGAGATCTTAACGGAGCGCTTCGTTTATACTTTACGTTCCCAAAAAAGGCCAAAATCAGCCTTCGGGTTCAGAGAAGAAGAGAAAAAAATAGAAAGAAAGAAAGAAAGAAAGACAGCTTTATAGACTTTTTCGGTTAGCGAGAAAATAAACGAAAATGAATAGGCAGTCAAAAATGTGAGCTAGAAGAATGGAAGAAGGATAGAAAGAGCGAAAAAACGAGACAAACCGACAGACAGATAGTAAGATAGATGAATGAATGGATAGGGAAGAAAACGAGAAGGAGA